CGAAAAATATTTTTAAATTTGAGTGTAAGTTAAAAAAGTTATAAACCATAATTTCTTTAATGTTAATAAATTTGTCATTGACGTTGAATGAATATATATATAATGCTATTATTTCCATAGGTGAAGAATTATATTATTGTGTTCAGTAGAAGTAAGCAGCAGACCAAGTTGAGTGATATGAGCATCTTGTTAAAAAAATATCACTCGACTTGGTTTGCTGCTTATTTTTTATGAGCGCAATAACATCATTTTTCACCTATGTAAATGATAGCATTACATACATATTCATTTAACGTCGATGGCAAATTTATAGCTATAAAATTATTAACATTAAAGAAATTATGGTTTATAACTTTTTTAACTTACACTCAAATTTAAAAATATTTTTCACTTAAAATATTATTAGACAATTAATACTCTCCTTTAACATGCTGTTTTACAAATTTTATGAAGCCTTTTGCCACTTTTCTTCACAATCACTATTTGTTTTCTTCATTTCTTCAATTATAACTCAAAGTCTCCAAGACATTTGTGTCTACGCTACAATCACTACTTATTTGACACTCGTATATGCCATCCTTCTGCTCTCGTAATAAGTGACAGCGCTGACGTATGAAGCAATGGTTGTCTTTCTCCTCAAGTTGGAGCGCGTTCTGAAGTCAACAAAAAATCAGTGCACATACCTTTTAGTTCACGAGTGTACAAGGAGAAATTCAACGAATATAATTTTCGAAAAAATAACGAGTAACGAGTAATAGTAACAAGATGATTTAAAAGGCATCCTGCAGACTTAAAACTTTTATATATTTATTAGGTAAATCGGAAAGTTCCGTCCATCTAGCGGCAAGTAGCTATAGCTAGAACTGTCGTTAACCTCTAATGTCTAAACGAAGCTTCATGATTGTTTTGATATCTGGCAATAACATTCAGTACATAAAGGTATATGTTTGCATCAATAACAATTTTTACTGCATCGAAAATGTAAAAATTTGAGCCAAATAAGCGTCATTTGCGCGGTGTTAATCTTTTGCTTCAATTGGAAGAAAACTGCAGCTGAAGCTCATCGAATGCTTGTAGAAGTTTATGGTGATAATGCTCCTTCCGGTAAAACATGCAGAGATTGGTTTCGATGCTTTAAAAGTGGTGATTTTGATGTAGAGGACAAAGAGCGTTCTGGACGGCCATCAAGAGTATTGAAGACGAAGAATTGCAGACATTGGTGGACGAAGACCCATGTCAAAGGCAAAAGCAACTTGCAGAAGCATTAAATTGTGCTCAATCTGTCATTTCCGACCGTTGAAAGCCTTAGAATAGGTTTACAAAGAATGAAAATGGGTCCTATATGAACTGAAGCCAAGAAACATTGAAAGGCGAGAAACCACCTGCGAAATTCTGCTTGCTAGGCAACAAAGAAAGGGGTTTTTATATCACTGGGGATGAAAAATGGATTTATTTTGACAATCCCAAACGTCGAAAAACTATTTGCGATCCCGATCAACCCTCAACATCGACGCCAAAGCGGAATATCCACAGAAAGAAGGGAATGCTCTGCATTTGGTGGGATCAGAAGTGTGCTGTACCATGAGCTGTTAAAAAGTGGTCAAACAGTCACAGGGGATCTCTACAGAGAACAAATGATCCGTTTGAGCCGAGCATTGCATGAAAACTAGAATATAAAACGAGACAGCATAAAGTGATTTTGCTTCATGACAACGCTCGGCCTCACGTCACAAAATCTGTCAAGGAAACGTTAGAAACACTTCGCTGGGAAGTGTTACCCCATGCGACTTATGCACCAGACTATGCTTCTTCCGATTACCACTTGTTTCGGTAGATGGCACACGCACTTGTTGACGAATGTTTCAATTCTTATGAAGACGTCAAAAAATGGGTCTTTGACTGGATAGCCTCCAAAGATGAGTCATTCTTTCGCCGCCGAATTGCTGACCAAAAGATAGAAAAAAGTCATCGCTAATGCGATGGACAATATTTTGATTGATGTACTTTTTCATTTTGTTTCTTAAATAAAGCCATACGTTTTGCAAAAAACGGATAGAACTTTCAGATTGACCTGATATTAGGTTTGAATAAATATAATATAATTGTAAAATATTCCCTAGAAATGTGTTGAGAGTGAGAAGAAGAAACAAGAAATAGTTGGCGCCTATCATTTGAATTTTTTAAATCAACTACTTATTCGAAAAATACAGCACCACTGCAAAATTTGTTTCGATCGTGTATGTTAAATAAATATATAAAGACCGTGTATGCTAAATAAATGTATGAAAGCTGTATACAAAAATCTCGAGAAATTATTCAAAAGAATAAAAAAATGAACGCCAACAGTACACGGTGTTCCCAAGTGGTCACCCATCCAAGTACTAACCGTGCCCAACGCTGCTTAACTGCAGTGATCAGACGAGAACTGGTGTTTTCAGCGTGGTATGACCGTTGACGACAGTACTGTATTTTTTAAACATGAACTATCTAACTGGGAATCATTATACAAAACCACAATTTTGACAATGTACGTTAGTAATAAATAAATATACGATTAATATAAAAAAAGACACGAAGAAATAATTGAAGAAGAAGGAAAAGAAAATTAAAAAACTCATCTCTTTCTCAATTTTGTAAAACAGTGGTTTGAAAAATACAGCACCGCTGCAATATTTGTCTCAAACGTGCTAAATAAATAAATGTATGAAAGCTGTACACAGGGATCTCGAGAAATTATTAAAAATAAAAAAAGAAAAAATGAACGCCAACGATACACGGTGTTCCCAGGTGGTCACCCATCCAAGTACTAACCATGCCCAACGCTGCTTAACTGCAGTGATCGGACGAGAACTGGTGTTTTCAGCGTGGTATGATCGTTGACGACATCGCTTCTTATTTTAAGCATGAACTAGTCAACTAGGAATCATTGTATAATTCAAAAATTTTGACTATGTATGTTAGTAATAAATAAATATACGATTAATATAAAAAGAGACACGAAGAAATAATTGAGGAAGAAGAGGACATTAGAAAGCTCATCCCTTTCTCAATTTTGTAAACAGTGGTTTGAAAAATACAGCACCGCGGCAAAATTTGTCTCAATCGTGTGTACTAAATAAATAAATCTATGAAAGCTGTGCACAGGAATCTCGAAAAATTATTCAAAAGAATAAAAAAAAGTGAACGCCAACAGTACACGGTGTTCCCAGGTGGTCAACCATCCAAGTATTAACCGTGCCCTACGCTACTGAACTGCAGTGATCGGACGAGAACTGGTATTTTCAGCGTAGTATGACCGTTGACAGTGATACTTTTTTTTAAGCATTAACTAGTCAACTGAGAATTATCAATGATTATACAATGACCATTAACGACAACAATATGCTATAAGAAACAATGTTTCTTATAGCATATTACAATGAAATGTAAACATAAAAAAATTGTAAAATTAATATTAACTAATTAATCTTTGCTTAATACAATATTGTAAACGATTTTTGAAAGTAATATATAAATAATATTCTTCCAATCTACCATTCAATTTACATTACAATCAATTACATTACAATCAATTACATTACAATTTACAGTACAATCGTATTAAATACACAATTATAAAATAAAAGATTAACAGTTTTGATTAATTCACTATATGTTTGCGTAAAACGACAGCAAAGTTGATAACATGTTTGAAAGCTAGTGACCTATATCAGAACGTGCTTATAACTAAGTTAGTGCGCTGTTAACCAATCAGAAGGCATATTGCGTGGCTTTTTATTGGTTTCATTGGTTAACAGCGCGCTGACATAATTATGAGCATGTTCTGAATATGGGCCTTTGTGTTTTTCTAACCTTTCGAATTTTAAAATATAATTATCATTAACTCTACCGAAGTTACAGTTCATCGAAATTCATATATATTTTAAAATCGTTTTTGGATTGTCGTTGTAATATATTACCGACACCGACGAAGTAATGTTAAAGATTTTCAGCCTTGGGTAAATTTTCATATTGAAAAGAAGGTCTCGAGGGACTCGACGATAATTGAAAGGCTCGTCTACAATAGCTATAAAGGCTCGTCTACATTAGCTGTAAGAGTAAGGCTGTAAGGTTGCAAGGCACGAAATGAAATATTTTCATTCGCTGACAGCTTACGTTACAGCCTTACAGCCTTACTCTTACAGCTATTGTAGACGAGCCTTGAGAGTAAGGCTGTAAGGCTGTAACGTAAGCTGTCAGCGAATGAAAATATTTCATTTCGTGTTTTGCAACCTTACAGCCTAATACCTCGTCTACAATAGAAGTCTAAAGGCTCGTCTACAATAGCTGTAAGAGTAAGGCTGTAAGGCTGTAACGTAAGCTGTCAGCGAATGAAAATATTTCATTTCGTGTCTTGCAACCTTACAGCCTTACTCTTACAGCTAATGTAGACGAGCCTTAAGAGTAAGGCTGTAAGGTTGCAAGACACGAAATGAAATATTTTCATTCGCTGACAGCTTACGTTACAGCCTTACAGCCTTACTCTTACAGCTATTGTAGACGAGCCTTCACAGCTAATGTAGACGAGCCTATAGAGGCGTAAGTCATACAAATTGACCAATCGCGGTCGATTATTTTTCTCTTACCGGACTATGATTGGTCAATTTCTACGACTTACGACTCTACGACTTCTATTGTAGACGAGGTATTAGGGCCAGAGCACAGACTTCTACATAACGCATAATACACAACGCATAAGAGAATCAACCAATCAGAGTTCTTCATTTCCCTCCTCAGGACAGAAATGAAGAACTCTGATTTGTTGATTCTCTTATGCGTTGTATATTATGCGTTATGCAGAAGTCTGTGCTCTGGCCCTAAGTTGTGAAACCGGGCCATAAAGAAGTAGAGTGAACAAGAACTGTGCACGCTTTGCCGTTATCGTCAGGACGGGTGTAGTGTATATACATTTTCTCAGAGGGCGCATCGGAAAAAGCGTCCCGGAGTAACCGGCTCGGTGGTCGCTCTTAGGTTTCTCTCTGTTTACAACTTATTCTGGACCAGCCTTTCTTTACGTTGCGGGCAATCGAGCTTTACATTACGTTTGACGAAGCATATTTTATATCTGACAAAATCAAAAGGAATCCGTTGAATTTCAAATTAGAAAAATGGTCCAAAAGAAGGTAAGTTTACCAAATTATCATATATAAACAATAGTTTCGGCAAGTAGCATTGTTAGTAGGAAATATCTACATTTGAAATGCCAACGTGTTATGTCGATATATAGCCAGAAAATATGTTTTTATTGAACAACTAGTTAAACTAATCATTGCCTGCAATAACAATTAAAGTCAATATTATAGCATGTAATTACAAATATTACTTAACACAATTCAACTCGCTAATATATAATATGTGATATTTTATGATTTAGTTGCATTATATTACAATTAACCTATAATTGTAATGCAAAAATGATTTCTTAAACTTAATAAAAAAATTTTTTTCTAGGGAATATATATAATTTTCATATTGTATTATATTCTTCCGAGTAAAAATAAATCTGTAAATCTCTGTAAAACTATTAATTAAAAGTAATAAGTATAATATGTACATTTATATATCAAACTTAAACTCAATTTATCTTATAATTCTTAATAAAATTAACCATGTATTTGCAATTAAGCTTATGTTGTTTGCTCTTGTTTTCATCAGCAAGATATTGCTTGATATCAGCAAGATGAGAGATAGTTGATTATATTCTTTTTTGTGATTTCTTAATATATATAGCCAAAGAAGAAAGTAGGAAAGAAAGTAGCGGCTGCGCCTTTGGCAGTCAAGAAAGTTGAGCCAAAGAAGGTGACAAACCCCCTCTTTGAAAAAAGGAGCAGAAATTTCGGAATTGGTAAGTCATTAATTTGGTACATTTATAATTTAAAATAAAAAAAGAATAAGTAATTGTGAAGAATATGGGCCTCCTCACCAATTTCGCTGAAACTGCATAATTGTGTATTTTGGTGCGTAGAACGCGATTTTGAAAGAAAACAGTGTTGCTCTCAAATGGATCAAAAGTTATAAAAATCTGAAAAATGACATGCATAGGGTTAGGAAATCTGTTATGCCAATGATACAGACTAACTGAGAAGTATGCACAATGCGTCCAAAGTGTAAAAAGTACATACAAAGGGGGAGAAGCGCAGCCCCTCTTCTACATCCTCTCCCCAAAGAAATCCTAATTTATCACATCTTTATATATTGTTGAGCATGGGTTTTAAATTAATTAATATTTTAATCTTTTGGTAATTGTGAAGAATACGGGCCCTCCTCACCAATTTCAAAGTATAAGTAATTTAAAATAAGACACGTTTTTTAATTATATCTATGTTCTATAATTGTATTTGTTCTCTAATTGTAATTATATATTATGTTTGCTAAAAATATGCATCATTTTTAAATCTAAAAGATTTTTTTTAGTAGAGTTTGGATAGATATAAATTTTCTTGTATACTGTGAGCGAAGAAGCTCTATTTTGCAAAGTTCTACTTTGACAACAAATATAGTTTAAAAGTATCCTTGCTAGAAGTCATTGTCAGTTGTTAGAAGTGCTTGTAATAAATCATGAAGATGCAATTACATGAGTTTTTTAGCAGTTATACACAATAAAGAAAAATTAATAGAATTTTTATGTAAGTGCAAACTACTTAAACATGGAATGACGCGTCCGAAGTTTAATGGGACAATAATATTAAGTAAAAGTAATTTATTAAATAAAAGTAATTATTTCGATGTCGGTGAATTTATTGTGAAAGAAACAAACATAAGAAGAAAGTGAGAAAACAATATACATTTAAAGCAAGTGGAAAATATAATACATGTCTCTAACAATGCTATGCTTCATGAAATATTATTATTTACACAATAATAGCTTCGTTCAAATTAATTTTGCACTTTGACGCACTGCATATGTTTCTCTGTCTATCCTTTTTAGTTGCACTATTGAACTGAGTCCAGTTGTGCAACTAAGATTGTGTTATAGTTTGCATGATACAAACTATATATTTTCAGTACTGACAGTGAATTTTGGAACACGGCCTAAAAAGAACAGACCATCAGTCTGCATTACTGACATGACAGATTTCCTAATCTTATGTCATTTTTTATCACTTCATAACTTTCGATCCGTTTGAGAGCGACACTTTTTTCTTCAAATTCGCGTTCTACGCAAAATATACAATTGTGCAAAGTTTCAATGAAATTGGTGAGGCCTGTATTTTTCACAATTATCAAAGAATGTAATGTAAAACAGCCATATGTACTTAAAAAGATGTTTCAATATAGGGCAGGATATTCAACCAGCTCGTGATCTCAGCAGATTTGTTAGGTGGCCTAAATATATCCGGATCCAGAGGCAAAGGGCCGTATTACAAAAAAGATTGAAGGTACCGCCTACCATCAATCAATTTATGGAGACACTTGACAAGCAAACGGGTAATGTTTACAAATATATTATATGTCTAAATATCTGTTTATAATATTTTTTATATCTTACATAAAGAATATAATATGATATATGGCATTGTTTTCATGTTATTACAGCCACACAGTTGTTCAAAGTACTAGAAAAGTATAGGCCAGAAACTGCGACTATGAAGAAGGCTCGACTAAAGGCAAGAGCCGAACAAAAAATCGCAAAAAAGGAAGATACGCCAACAAAAAGACCAAATGTTATTCGTAGTGGAACCAATACAGTGACCACATTGGTGGAGCAAAAGAAGGCTCAGTTGGTTGTCATTGCGCATGATGTTGATCCTATTGAGGTTAGTTTCAATTTATTATCATATATATAATGTAAAATTCTTAAGTAAAACTGTTTAGGGGAGGCATCTTTGATAGTCTTGATATTGGCATATATAGTACTGACTAGGGTTGCCAGATGGCTGAAATTTCCAGGATTGTCCCGGAATTTTTAAGCTTGTCCCACGTCTCGGAATTTAAGTTTTTTGCCCTGGAAAATCAGAATTTCAACAAAATTATGATCATAACATTCATGTTTCTAACTAGTACTAGAGAGAAATGTGAGAGCAGTCATCACGATTTACAAGGTCAAAAAATTTTACGTGCCATCTGAGAAAATTGATGTCAAGTAAATCATTTGTGTCAAATTTATATAAATATATACTGAAATTTCAAGATCCAACTGTTCCAACTGTATGACACACTAACTGATTCTGATCCTTAAGGTAATTGGAACACAATAATAAATTTTATCTTCTACTAAATACTTGTTTATAAACACATCACATATTGACTTCTAAAATTGAAACAGAACAATAAGTTCTACTATTCTATTATAAACACATTCTATTATATGTTGAATACTTATTTCTGAAATGTACACGGTCTGAAATATAATGGAAAACCATGGTTTATTTTTGAAAATTCTATTGCTTATAACTTTTTAATAAATGAGCGATGGCTAAAATGTTCTGTACATTACTCAGAAGGATCAGTATAATAATATATGCCAACGTCAAAACCATCAGAGGTGCCTCTCTTAAACAGGAATTTTACCAATTTTTGTTTTATTTAACTATGATGGCTGAATTTCTTCATCTGAAGACAAAAAGATATTTTTGTTCATATAATGACATGTGATATTGAGTAATATTATATATCAATATATATATATCAATATTTTCATATTGATACATTTTCGTAAGTAGTAATAATATTACATATTATGCTAATTTATTCTTTATTTATAGATTATATTATTCCTCCCTGCCTTGTGTCGTAAGATGGGTGTCCCATATTGCATCATCAAAGGCAAAGCACGTTTGGGACGTTTAGTGCGACGTAAGACTTGCACAGCAATTGCCCTTACTCAGGTATGTGCAAAATTATACTCGATTCTTATTTATATTTTATTCACATATACTAATCTACATGATGAATACAATAAGAGCCAATCCAATGACAACATCGTGATATATGAAAAAAAAATATTCTCTGATATAAATTTCTGTGAAATCTTGATTTCTCTACTCATACTCTGATTTTACTGATGTATCATTGTTTATTTCAGGTGGATTCTGGTGATAGGGCCAACTTTGCAAAGATCATAGAAGCCATAAAGACAAACTTCAATGACAGATATGATGAAATCAGGCGTCATTGGGGCGGTGGTATATTGGGAAGTAAATCTGCAGCAAGGATAGCCAAATTAGAAAAAGCTAAGGCTAAGGAACTTGCCCAGAAACAAGGTTAATATTATCACCTGTGTCTTCTGCAGATTATCATAAACAATACAGAATAAAACATTTATATCTATATTTATTTGATAGTATCCCAATATTCACACATTCTTCCATTCTGTATAATATATATAAAGAATTTATATTAATCTAATTTAAAATGAAATAAGAAAATACTGTTCTCTTTTGCTTTAAATATATACAGTTATAATGAATGTTCTAACTTCATATTTTCAAATCTTAAGGCCCCTAGATGGTCGCCGCGGCCGTATCGTAATGTCATAGGCAAGAAATGCCACGCTGAGAATTCTTGCGTGCCATTTCAAAATAGATATTTCTCCTAAACAACACTCGGCTTCAGCATACTTGTAAAAAGTTTCGAGTTCTCCCCTTTTGCTTCAGCAGTTAATATAGAGCCGTAAAATGAGCTTTGAAGAGACCTGTTCATACGAGAAACCGCGTGATCGAACAGCTGATGAAACGAGTAGAAATTATGCTCCTACATATCGTATTTCACAAAAAACCGAGAGTTCAAAATTTCTTACAAGTTTCCTGAATGTCACATCACAGAAGTCCACTATAACGAATAATAAAAAAATGGCACGCAAAAATAAATTAGGCCGTCAACATGTCACTTTTTCAAACCTTTTAGTTTAATGTTTTGCTGCGAGAGGCACTGTATATAACATGTCGATATTATAGAGTTCTTTTCCTACTGTGTCCACTCAGAGGCAGGTATGGTATCCTTCGGCGATGTCGTATACGCCTGTAAAACAATCGAAAGCGATGACAGGCATATACGCATACGCATATGGGCGTACTGTACAGTGCGAGAGAAGCGAAGAAGGAGAAATGGTGGGAGATGTTGCCATCACATGCAGGTTTTATCGTCGAAACCTGAAAGTGGATGTAGCATCGTAATTCCCCTCTCAAGATGGATGTAGATGGCGTCCTTTCCTAGTGCGGAAAGTCGGTGTCGCCAAAAACGCTGTGTTGGCCGCTCTCACGTTCCTCCCCGCCCATAGTCAAAGGATAAAATCGCTGCTGGCTCGTGGACCGCCACGATCGTCAGCTATCCAGTGGTGAGACAAAGGGTCTGTTCTTTTTAGCTGTACTGCTGAACTGACGCAATAAATTAGAGTGAGAAAAAATATAGTGGTCTTACTTTAACTTATTATACCAGTTTAGCAGTGCAGCTAAAAAGAACAGACCAAAAGATAGACATAAAGTTTGTTTTCTATTGTTCCGATGTTGCATCCTTATCGCACGATCGCACAATTATTATTTTTATCAAGTTTGAAATCAATCGTCTGCTTAGTTTCCGAAAAAAAAATTCGCGAAAATAGCTTATTTTTCTAGCCTATAGACAGGATTGCCTTCTTGATCGGCATTTCTGCTAAGGAGAAAAGAGGAAAGCGCGATATATGGCTATTAGAGCGAGCGAGACACCTATAGAGACAGCGCGGTGTCTCTATAGCTGTCTCACTCATATTGCCTGCATTCAAGCGTAGAGAGAGTGAGCTATTGGGGACACCATTGAACGTACCACGTCTGGTAATGCTTTCTCTCTCGATCGTGCGACGTGCGATAAGGATGCAACATCGGAACGTCTCCCTCTTCGCTTCTCTCGCGCTGTACAGTACGCCCATATGCATATGCGTATATGCCTGTCATGGCTTTCGATTGTTTTACAGGCGTATACGACATCGCCGAGGGACACCATACCTGCCTCTGAGTGTCCACGAGTAAGATAAATTAGACAAAGACGGATAGCGGAATCTATAAGTCTGTTTTTTATCGCTGAACTAGTGTACACTCAGGGAACATAAAAAGAAATAGATATACATTTAGAAGTAAAGCCAGCGGCACACGGTGCTTGTTTTCATCCAGCAAGCAATCCAGCACAAAAACAAGCACCGTGTGCTGCTGGCTTTAGTGAAAGGGAGAGAAGAAGAGAATAAGCGCAAGTTAGTGCAGCCATTTCAGCAATAGAAAACAAACTTTATGTCTGTCTTTTGGTCTGTTCTTTTTAGCTGCACTGCTAAACTGGTATAATAAGTTAAAGTAAGACCACTATATTTTTTCTCACTCTAATTTATTGCGTCAGTTCAGCAGTACAGCTAAAAAGAACAGACCCTTTGTCTCACCACTGGATAGCTGACGATCGTGGCGGTCCACGAGCCAGCAGCGATTTTATCCTTTGATTATGGGCGGGGAGGAACGTGAGAGCGGCCAACACGGCGTTTTTGGCGACACCGACTTTCCGCACTAGGAAAGGACGCCATCTACATCCATCTTGAGAGGGGAATTACGATGCTACATCCACTTTCAGGTTTCGACGATAAAACCTGCATGTGATGGCAGTCCGTGCTACATCCATTTTCAGGCGGTTTATGTCCGTGCTATAACTATAATAGCGTACTTGACAAGCACGGTCTCGCACATTGTTACGCGTTTATAATATGAATTAACATGTTAACATGCGCAAAAAAAAAGAATTAACATTGTGTATGATTAATATCATGAAGATCATACGAAGTGTCCGGTAATTAGCTGCCAACCTAAAGTGTGAGGGTAGACCTAATGAGAAATGATTTGTTGATCGACGTCGAAACGAGGTCGAATCGACGTCGATTTGTAGATTGGATATCGATTCGACATCGTTTCGACATCGATCGACGAATCATTTTTCACTGGGGATTGGGTTGAGACAAACATAAAAGTCTCATACCGTTTTGCGAGATTCGCAATAATTATCGAGTTATTAATAACAGAAATCTGAGGAATAGAAGCGCGCCGACATAGATGATTGGCGAAGCGTTGCAGCTGCTCAGGGCAGCGATGATGAATCTTTTCCCTAGCGTGAACTAGTGAAAAGTGAAAGACTTCTGTGAATTAGTGAAAAATGAAACATTTTATATGAATTTGTGAAAATCGAAACATTTCACACGACAATTGAGTCGTTCAACACAACAGTTGCGTTCTGGATAATTCTTAATGATTATCAAAGATATCAAAATGATCAAAATAATAATGTCCGTGTAGTCCGAAGGATATTACATGACACGCAAAATTCTCGACTAGCATCATCGAGAACAGCAATTGAGCTAGGAACACCAGGAGGAAGCCGAGGAGAAGGAAGTCCGAAGCGTGAGTCAGTTGGTGAGTAAAGGGTTCCCCATACCGATACCGGTCGACAAAGGCACCGGGGAAACCCTGAGCAAGAGCCGACGCTCGCATACTAGTCCGCGGCTGAAAAGACCACCTGGATCATCGGATTCAACCAGTCACGCGGTTCGTTCCGATTCTCTCGAGACGGCGACACCGTCGTCACCGGCGAGTAGAATTTTTACGATTAAGTCTGTATTATCACCGGCTACAAGTCGGTCCGTATTACCGCTAGAATAAGTTGTGCCGCCCAGATTCTTTCGGTCCGGCGGCGGTCTTCGCCACCGACGAGCAGAGTCGATAGAATAAGTTGTACTCGTCCCGATTCTCTCGAGACGGCAACGCCTTCGTCACCGGCGAGTAGAATTTCTACGATTAAGTTTCTGTGCTATCACCGGCTACTACAAGTCGGTCCGTATTACCGCTAGAATAAGTTGTGCCGCCCAGATTCTCTCGATCCGGCGGCGATCTTCGCCACCGACGAGCAGAGTCGATAGCATAAGTTGTGTTGTCCCCCGGTTATTATCCGTTCTATTATAAACGTACCTAGGATAAGTTGTGCTCGTTGGTTTCTCTCGGCACAGCGGCGGTCTTCGTCGCCGACGAGCAGAAGCGATATGTTAAGTAGGGCTACCTGCCGTTTCATATATTCGCTCATAAAATTACGCTGTGATCGTCAAACTTCTCCCGGCGCGACGGCGACTTCGCCACCGACGGGTGGATTCATCAGCTCCCGCGTTTGTGTTGTCTGCCGGCCACGAGACCTCCGTGTAACCCACGCATCGTCATTCCATTTCGCCGCATTCTGTATGAACGTGCACCGCGCCTTCACTCGACGGGCGACGTTTTCGTCACCCGACGAGGGACAAGTGCGAAGTGCTGATTTCTTAACTAACGTTATCGATACGTTTTATGTTCGCTTAGAACGCTGCCAAGTTGTCGAAGGACATCAATTTGAACATTTGGTAAATTATGTTTTTATTCCTTCACATACACCAATGTTCCTATCCCGGTCTTGCCTTAGCCGGACACGCTAGCGGTCTTGTCTTGGTTGGCCGGACACGCACACACACGCGCGTCGTTAAATATTACGAGATTAACGAATCGTGGGGTCTTTATCTTTGTTGACACACGTACACACTCATTCAAGAACGCGCGTGCCCGCGTGAAGTCTTATCTTTCTTCTGTTGTCGCCATGGGCCCTCGCTATCGCAAAATCTCAATAGAAATGTTCAAATTATCATAACTCTGCGAAAAAAAATCGTAGACACCTCGGCGAGCTCGCGTTGTTTTCGTCTCGGAAAGCCTTTTCGAACGAGCCCTCACTCAACCCCACATGCCATTTAAGATTTTTTGACTCTCCCCTCCCCCCGTCCCACGGGGGTGTGAAGGTGGGTGTTTTTATAGTTAAATAATAGACTTTGTGATCCCATTGTATCTCTATAAATTTCAATCCTACATTTTAAACCATTCAAAAAATAAAAAGAATTTACGCCAACAGTACACGGTGTTCCCAGGTGGTCACCCATCCAAGTACTAACCGTGCCCAACGCTGCTTAACTGCAGTGATCGGACGAGAACTGGTGTTTTCAGCGTGGTATGACCGTTGACGATAGGAGCATCTTGTTTGAAGCATAAATTATGGAATTGAGAATTATTGTACAATTCCAAAGTTTTAACCATGTGTATTAATAATAAATAAACATACGATTAATATAAAAAAAATACACAGAGCAATAATTGAGAAAGAAAGAAGAAAAAATTAGAAAGCTCATTTCTTTCTCATTTTCGTAAACAGTGGTTTGAAAAATATAGCACCGTTGCAAAATTTGTCTCGATCGAGTGTGCTAAATAAATAAATGTATAGAAGCTGTACACAGGAATCTCGAAAAATTATTCAAAAAAATAAA